AGCACAGCCCATCTCCTTTCTATACACCCTGTTCCATTGCGTTAATGACACTTGAATTTTTAACAGCAGGAATCCAAATAATCTCTTTTCAATTAGTTATCTGACAGGCTGGGGGGGGCGGGGGAGGGACCTGCAAAACCAAAAGCTAGCACTGCTTTGGTTCATATCTCCACTCTCTTACACAGATATTTATTCAGTCCCAAATTATGCAACAGCTTTTAACACTCCCTTTGAGGGTTTTAAGAACACTACCGACATCAAAATCTATTAGACAGTGGTGATTGTTCCAGCTTTTCTTTTACAAGACTAGCACTTAATTCTTCTAATAGCAACCAGTCCTTTAATCTGCACACTAGATTAAGCAAAATTCCCTTTTAAAGGTTACCTTGTCTGTCTGTTTAATGTTTCATGAACAAAAAATACCAATAATAAAATAAAAACACACATCTATCAAACTCTTCCAATTACTCTGATTTCACTCAGAATGTCGAAAGCAATTTGGGTGAACCAGCTATCAAAGTCAGGATTCCTTGAGTCACTTGAGCAGCTCAACAGCTGTCAGGGCAGCATCCCTGTTTATGCTGATCAGATCTCCACTGAAAAGTTAAAAGGGCATCTAGCAATAAAAACAATACCCTGAACTATTATTGGGACATTAAAAAGCTCTGAATCTAAATAAATTTCCTTAGTTAGTTTTCATTCCTAAAGGTCAATTCAGATGCTCCTATATGTGAATAAAATGGTAAACACAGTTCTCTCAGATCACAGTGGCATGAGGCCCCCGGAGGGGGAAAGTGTTCCACAAATCCAGAGGAAATTTATATTATCCCAAAAGATAACAACAGAATAGGTCCAGTTGCATTTGAGGTTCCCTTACTTGGATCACAGCCAACAAATAAATTGTTAACACACATGACTCAGGGTCAAATTAGATGCGGATGCAACAGCCATACGTCTTGTCTCGTTCATTTATACAGTGGGGGGTAGCAGAGTTTATTGAGCACCTTCCCATGCTTCAGGTATCTTTCACCTACCACTTACGGTATTGCAGGTAGGGAGGGAGAAAGTGCGAGCCATAATAGTGTGTTTACGTTTCAGTAAGATGGAAGTGGGAGGAGAGGATTCAGTTTTCACTTTTGATTTGTCACATGCAGCATGACTCACAGAGGAGCACCTGCTATTTAGATGCCATTTTGCAGCTTCCTAATCCATGGGATCAGGCCCATGCGTATTGGGGGGCAGCTGTCCCAGGCATCAGTGGGCTAAGCTGGCTGCGGCCTCCCCACCAGGGATGGCTGATTTTGTGTTTGAGCTTATAACTTTATTCTAACAAGACTCCTGCTCCAGGCCTCAGACAAGCTCTACATGGGCCTGGATGGCTATCTAGGACTGTTTGACTGGGAATATGGCCAGTGCTATCACTGATCAAAGGAAAAAACATGTATCCCAAGGATGAAAACAACAGCAACGGTCATTGACACAAAAATGGAACATCATTGTTTAAGATTATGCACACGCCAGCAACCCAAATAGAACCGATGGCACCTCATCCAGCCTCTTAGTTTTGTGTTTAGTTCAACAAGTTGGCAATCTAGAACCAAATTAAGAGCCTATAACCTCTGAAACAAACAACTGCTTACCAAAGAGTTCTGCGTCTTAAAAAGACATGCCAGTAACTCAAAAAAGTATGTACCGATTCATAATCTTGTACATTCAAATAAATGTGATAAGAAGGCAAAAAAATCCATCACAACTTCCTTGAGGTTTTTGACATTTAACTGTTAGATAATGCAGTTAACAGTCAGTAAGTTTCCAATGATAGGTACAAGTTCAAATTTATTTGCAACAAATAACCTAATGTTTGTTTAATCCTTTAAAAATCTGTTATTTTGGGAAATGTTTACTGGAAACCACCGAATAGTTCATACTACAAAGATGTAGTTCAATCATATACAAGAATTACACAGTTATGCTGTAGAAGATGTGATCCAGTGATATTTTGCGGTGCGTGGAAAATGTTTTTTTAAGACTTTAAGATTCTGAAATATGGCTAAAAAATTAATCTCACCAATTGGAATGCCAAAATGCTGCTGCTAAAAATATATCATTGCATTCCTAATTTTGTGCTATTTTACCTTTCATTTAAAAAAGTAACTGCAGCTTAGATAAAGAGCATAAAACTCTTGATATTTCAAAGTACTATGAAACAATTACGTTAATGGGAACCATTGACAGTTAAATGATTCTACTAAATGAATGTTATAGAAAACACAATGACTTTTTAAAAAGAAAAATATTGAATTTAACCACAAATTAGAAAAAAAGGTGTTACAAGCACTGGGGTGCATTTTTAGTATTAATTCAAACGGCAGCGAAGTGCTGCTTATATAGTTCAACGGATTCTGTATTTTCTAATAAGCAAGTTAGTACATAGCAATGAGATTTTTTTTATCCTACTTCCCTATGAAAGGTCTTGCTGCTGCCTGGGAGTGCACTGCTGCCACACTAGGTAAAGAAACCCTTTCCCAGAGAGAGGACATCAACTGGGACAGGGCTGGTGCTCAACAGCTATTCCTGATATTTTGAAGCACTTGAGTTTGTACTGAACTGCATTAATTGTTTAAATGAATTGGTTCGTTTTTAGCCTTCTTTACATGCTACTTCGTTTATAATATTCATATAGTGATTGGAATGTCTGCTAATTTTTGATGCAATTGTTATTAGTGCGAGCTGCTGTTAGCTCAACTTTTGTTGTTGGAAAACAGAATACAAATATTAAAAATTAAAAATCAAATGGTGGTTTTGACTAAACAGTTTGTACATGCACCCTGCAATCCCGTGGTTTTGGGGAAGGAGTCCCAGAGCCCACAGGACAGAGCACATTTTTCTCTGTGTGGGTCGAGATAAATCTGCCCTCAGAGATGGAGCATCAAGTAATATTTTTAAAACCCCTTAAAGGATTTGGCAGACTTAACCTGCTCAAGAAATTTCCCTGCAAATTTCAAACACTTGAGTGAAAAGGCAGGGGAGGAAAACCAGATATCCATCTCTAGATTTCTAATTATGGTCAATAGAGGTAGAACTGAGCTTTGAATTTAACAGATCAGAATTGGACCCAAATAATGAATCAAATCAGAATAATACAGAGCAGATCTTAAAACAGATGCGGCTGCTTCCAGATGCTACATATACAAGAGGAGCTTTTTGGTTGCTACACACACCCAGTTATACCTCACTTTAAATTTCCTTGGCTAGTTTAATTGTTCGTTAGAACTTTCAAGCAGCAAAGTTCACAATAATACCTAACCTATTGCTCACTGCAGTGAGATATAGTTCTGCATCCCTTTAGAGACACAAACTCTCCAAAGTCAAGGGGGATGTTTGCATAAGTGAGATCGGTACCATATGATGTAAATTAATTCATTTCACAACCATCTCCACTTGACTGGGATTCCTTTCGTATTTACTAACAGGATATGAACCAGAGTTTAGTTCTGACATGTTTTCACATGACACATCTCCGAAAGTAAGCAGTGAAACAATTCAACTGTTACTGTTCCAATTTATTTTCATTACGCTTTGGCACGTGGAGAGAGTGTAAGATTGAGAGCGAGCACACAAAAGTACAAAGAGGTACGTTTTCCTGCGATGCCTGGTTGCTTAAGTAGAAGAAGCATTCATGTACTTCAGCAAGAATGAATTTCCCTATTTATTTTTAAGAAACATGAGACTGAAGGCATAAAGTAAAAGAATAGATGCTACCAGTTTAGTGAGATAATGGTTTCACCGAGGAAATAACAGCTGGGGAAAAATGGCTACTGCAATGCTGCAACTAATTGTAAAGTATTGGACTCTAGATGTGCAAGGTAAAGGAAAGGAGCTCTATGCTAAAGAAGAGTTCATTACTTTCGTATGCAGCTAAAAGGCTGATGCTTTTTCTGGGACTTGTTTCTCCCACGGCATCACCTAAAGGCCATAGCAGGCTTCAAATCTCCTTAGGCGGGGAGTGCCTTGATAGTGAGGGAGTGTGTGCTTGTTTAAAGGATACAGGTGTGTGAATTCCTTCATAACTATTTGCTTGAAAACCTGCTCCCAATGCATTTTGCATCCCCCCACATGCTCAAAGAAACAGCTGTTCTGAGTAAAAAGCCTCCTTGACTTGGTGAAGATTGCCATTTATCTCGAGACATTACTATACTCAATAATGCTGGACTGTGGTATTTGCAGATATAGCATTTGGAACATTTCTTCACTGATAACCATTTTTGTGTCGCCAAGGACATTGCAACAGCTTCTTTGAAAAAATGATAGAATCTTGCATATCTGGAGTGGATAGTCTGTTACTATACACTTTCTGCAATGACACTTTGCACATCTCCAAACTGAGAAGCAGTTCAAATGAACATAATGAGGTTGCGTTCACAAGAACATTAATACTTAAGTTTACAAATGTACTCTGCACTTTTAGCAGCATCTCCTGCTCCGTTCACAAATAATAATATGAAGTAAAGAACCATCAAAGGGGAGTCATACTGACATTTCTTCACTGTTACAAGCATAGAGTTCACTCTACATCAATCCATCAAAATGAGTGTAGCTACTATTCTATTGAATCAACAAATGTTTGGGGACATCTCTTTGCACCTGAATGCGAACCTTATAAATGAAAAACATTGCAATAATGATATTGTTATTTAAATGCCTGTGAACCAGATTGTATGTGGGAGTAAGAGAAGTTCTCTTGAATAACCTCAATGGCGTTGCTTTATTTCACATGAATGCAGCTGGATATGCAGTTTCATGTGGGGAAAGGCAGACATATTTTATATCTCATTTTTATTCCCATACTCCTGGTGATTTTACCTAGGGATCCCAAGATCTATAAGTATATACTCAAGACACATCTGTAGCTCATACAGACTGGCCTTTTGCATAAGTGAAAAACTGCCATGGTTTCCTCCAGCTGCTATACAACATTTTATAAATCTCCAAATACTCACAGATGTAGAAATATTCCCGGCCTGGCCTGAACTCAAATCCTAATGAGAAGGGAGTGAAGAGTTGAAATTTTTCTGAGAACTTCAATGGTCCATTCGGAGAGTGAGGCCGATTGCACTCCCACCTCTTGAATCCTTTGGAAGTGTGATCACAGGAACTGTAGCCATCAAAGTTCACCATGTAAAGGATGTAGCGTTCAGTCTTATCTTCTGACACTGAATCTTCATAATGAGGACAGAATACATCCAAATAGTCATTGATGCAGACATCAATATGGTAGTCACCCCGCTGGAATCTAAAAGGAAAAACAAAACAAAACCAGTTCAGGAAATCTTCACGACAAAAAAATTACTTAAAGTCACAAAAAATTAACATCTTGAACAGGATTCACTCTCTCAGAAAAAGCCCTTCACAAGGACTTCCACTTGTGCAATGGGGCTTTCCCATCCCCTGTATTGGCTCCGTGTTTGTGTTTCATGAGAACCCACAGGAGGAGCACACAAGGGAGAGGACAATTGTTCCATCAGGCAACCTGTTATGTCTGCGTAGATGGAACCTTTGTAACAGTGCAATGTTGAATACTGCCCTTGGGGTATTTCCTTTGTCAAAAGCATGGGAAATAGCTCAAGAAATATTTCAAGCCATAAGTTTGCACTCAGTGCCCTTTAACTGAAGGGCCACAACCAGTTCCTGTTAGGATTGTCCTACTCTCCTGTAGGATCCTGGCAGAGACACATGCCTGACTGGCATGATATCAAGAGGCATCAGCACACTTAGGGATCCACAGACTATTCGCAGTTTGCGTAGCAGAACTCAGTAGCACAGCATTTTGGCTAATCTACTTTATTTACATATAATACACTTGGAGCATTCTGACTTAGCTCCTTCCTCTTTCTCATCAGACAGCAAAGAGAGAAAGAACAAAGGACAATAGTCCCACTTCACGAACACAGCAACATAAACATCCTGTCTCCGTCACTTCCCACACTGTGGAATGAAAACATACACCGCCATGTGACAGACAACAATCCCATGACTGCAAACACAGAGCAAGACTCCTAACAGTTCTGTTTGTATCCTTTGCCCTACAATTGCCTCCGGATCAATATATTCTATATGGGGGGAGGGGGACTGTGAGAGAAACTCCGTTTCATCTCTCTCTTTATTAAAGAGAAAAACCAGAGATGCTATACATACTTTCATACAGCGCAAACACCAAATGGGAGATATCACTTCTGTACCACAACCAAATCTCATTACAGGCACATACATTTATTTCCTACAAACACTCATTCATCTTTGCTTTCTCTTTGCTGCTGGCAACGTTTAGTCAAGATCCAAGAAAGCAAAGTATACCTTTGAAATATTTTTGAAAAGCAATGTAACGACCACTGCCAAAGTGCATAGAAGAGATACCGCTGCTCAGATAAAAGAATTCTAGACTATGAATTATCAGCACTCACCTGACAGTTTGGAATGAGAGCCAGATGAGAAAGGTAGTGCAAGGCACTTTCACTGATGCGCTTTTATTATCAGCATTGGTAAGCAGTATTAGCTGCAGCAGTAGTGAGGCTGTTTTTACTGTGTGGTGCTGTGGGTAAAAGCCTCAGCGCCTAGGGCTTGCCAATCGAAAGGTCGGCGGTTCGAATCCCCGCGGCGGGGTGCGCTCCCGTTGTTCGGTCCCAGCGCCTGCCAACCTAGCAGTTCGAAAGCACTCCCGGGTGCAAGTAGATAAATAGGGACCGCTTACTAGCGGGAAGGTAAACGGCATTTCCGTGTGCGGCTCTGGCTCGCCAGAGCAGCGATGTCACGCTGGCCACGTGACCCGGAAGTGTCTCCGGACAGCGCTGGCCCCCGGCCTCTTGAGTGAGATGGGCGCACAACCCTAGAGTCTGTCAAGACTGGCCCATACGGGCAGGGGTACCTTTACCTTTTTAATAGAAGTGCAGGAGCTTAGTGCCAGGTAGGGCCAACATATTTCTCGCCCAACTCTCAGCTGCATACTGCAGGTGGGAGTTATATGCACTGCATATGGAAGCTTACCAGTCACCTGAGAGAGTCACTTTCACACGCAGCCCAGACGCAGCAATTTAGTCCCACTGAGTCCTCTCTACCTACTACTCTCTACTCACAGGAGTGCATCTTTACAGCAAAACACTCTTGGAACATGAATCAAACATACATTCACTGCAAAGGTTAGAGACGGTCCATGAGGTAACTGAGCCCCTGAAGGACCAGGTGTGCAGCCTGAGAGTCATTTTGGATTCACAGATGTCCATGGAGGTCAATTGTGTTTCCAGGGCAGCTGTCAACCGGCTCCATCTGGTATGCCGGCTGACACCCTACCTGCTTGCGCACTGTCTTGCCAGAGTGCTCTGGTTATTTCCTGCTTGGGCCACTGCAATGCGCTCTACGTGGGGCTACCTTTGAAGGTGACATGGAAACTACAACTAATCCAGAATGTGACAGTTGGGCTGGTGACTGGGAGCAGCCACCGGGACCATATAACACCAGTCCTAAATGATCTACACTGGCTCCTAGTACGTTTCCAAGCACAATTCAAAGTGTTGGTGCTGACCTTTAAAGCCCTAAATGGCCTCAGTCCTGTATATCTGAAGGAGTGTCTCCAGCCCTATCATTCAGCCCAGACACTGAGGTCCAGCTCCAAAGGCTTTCTGACAGTTCCCTCACTGTGAGAAGTGAACTTACAGGCAGCCAGGCAGAGGGCCTTATCAGTAGTAGTGCCCACCCTGTGGAACACCCTCCTATCAGATGTCAAGGAGATAAATAACTACATAACTTTTAGAAGACATCTGAAGGCAGTCCTGTATCAGGAAGGTTTTTGTATTTGATGTTTTATTCTGTTGGAAACCGCCCAGAATGGCTTGGGCAACCCAGCCAGATGGGAAAGGTTTGAATAAATTAGTAGTAGTAGTAGTAATATCATCAGTGAAACCTTTATTTTCACAGGTATCACATAATGTGGACATCTGTTAGCAGGAATATAAAGTTAACACAAGCTGTCTTGTGAAATAGTGGTTCTAGACCACACTGTATACCTGCAGCATATATACTTCCACAGGGACGTGGGTGGCGCTGTGGTCTAAACCGCTGAGCCTCTTGGGCTTGCTGATCGGAAGGTCAGCAGTTCAAATCTATGCAACGGCGTGAGATCCCATTACTCTGTCCCAGCTTCTGCCAACTTAACCATCCAGGGGTCCTTTACCCTTTTACCTTATAGTTCCACAGAGACAAGCATGGACTTCTACCAGCTATTCTTTCCACGCTGTACTTATTCTTACCACCACATTATCCCTACCTATGGCTTCTATTCCTCGACAGCAGCCACTGTAAAGTGCAGAGATAGTAATAAAGATACCGTGACATATTTAACTATAATGTCCCTTTTCACCTGAGGCACATATTTTAAGCACCTGATGGACCTGAAATCTGCCAACTAGATACTTCCATCCAATTTAGGGCGGTGAGGCGGGGGGGAAGCAATGATCATTGGGTCTTCTCCAAGGATATATTCAGAGCAATCTATTCATCTCCTACAATCATTTAGCTACCATAAAATAGGTTTTTAACAAAGGAGAAATTGTGTTTAGTGTACGAACAAAAGCCTGCTAAATCTAATTCTGGCCAGTGCACATCACCACATGGTTTTCTCTTGAAACCCAGTAAAGGGACTTTATTTCAGAACTCATATCTGCCATAACCACTAAGGCAAAGTAGATGAGGGATTTCCATGACTGGAATTCCGAGGGCCTATTTCTTTGACAAAAAGCAGCAATGAAGATTCCTGATACTGGACAGGGCTGCCATATAACAGAGAAGGAATTTAAAACCTTTCTTCCTGTGATTTCACTCCACTGAAAATTCTAATCCCTGGAGCTATTTGCCCTCTGTGTTCCCTTGAATTTTGCCAATGGGGATTTACAGCAGGTTTGTTGGAGGAATGATAAATTTCAGAAAGAAAGTAAGTTTTCGAGGGACGTATCTCATAAGAAAGAATTAATGAGTGTAATCATAAGTAATATAGAAGGCGGGAACGTACGCTAGGACTTCCGAGAGGTGGCATGAATAATTTGCCGGCCCAACCTATTCACCATCACATAGTATTTGCCATACATTGTTAATTAAGTGCACTGTAATTGTCAATGGCAGTGACCTGAAGTGATGGGTCAGTAATTAAAGGCGCATTTGCTAGAGAGCGTATACATGTTAATATTCATTTTTATTAGTATCAGGCCAATTTTAAATTCTTGCCAAAAACCCAGACTATTTAAATCATATCTGAAACTTGAATAGCAAGTGGTACCTCGGGTTACATAGGCTTTCAGGTTACATAGGCTTCAGGTTACAGACTCCGCTAACCCCAGAAATAGTGCTTCAGGTTAAGAAACTTTGCTTCAGGATGAGAACAGAAATTGTGCTCCGGCAGCACAAGCAGCAGCACAGGAGGCTCCATTAGCTAAAGTGGTGCTTCAGGTTTAAGAACAGTTTCAGGTTAAGTAAGGACCTCCGGAACGAATTAAGTACTTAACCCGAGGTACCACTGTATATTGATTAGCAAACAGAAAGCCTAGTTTACTAGATCAAAGCTAAAAGTCATTATTTCCTCATCAGAAACCCCAACCTGAATTCAAAGGAAGCATTTTTAACTTTCAGAGACTACATTTAAGGTATACTATAAGAAAAATAGCCAGCTATCAGAATGAGATGAATGTTTCAGTTCAAAACTAATTTACCTGCTCTAAACCAAGACTGAAAAGTGCAACAGTGTAGGAAAGAAGAAATTAGTTTACAAACATGTTTGAGATGATTAAAAAAGCAGGCTGTAGAGCTCCTTCCTCACATTTTGCTAGAATGCAATCTGTATGCTCCTCTACAGTATTCACAGAGGCTACAGATTTTCCTGGTTTTGTCATTTAAGTCCCAGTCTTGTAGATCTCCCCTAAACAGTATGCAAATGAGTCCCCAAATGTTGGGGAACTAACTTCTTACGTCTACTCCATGTAGAAAGCTCAGAATACACACACCTACTCAAAGCTAGCTGAGACTATAATGTAAGGAAGGAATAAGTCGGTCTTTTCTTCAAAATGAATAGGCTAGAGAGCTAAAATAAAATTCCTGAACCACAAGTGTTTCCCCCCACTCCAAATAATGCATTTTGCCTCCTTACATTATCAGTTACATACAAGAAAACGCACTGCTATTCTTCAACCACAATTAACCTTTACATTCAGTCAGGTGACGTTCATACAGTGTCATGGAAACTTGCACGCTACT